ACTCCAGAAAGAATGGCTGCTATCATGAAATCAACCAATAACAAATGCTGGTGGGGCTGTGGGGAAAGAGGAACCCTCTTCCACTGCTGGTGGGAGTTTAGACTGGTGCAACCACTGTGAAAATCTGTATGGCAATACCTCAAAGAACTAGGACTGGAATTTCCATTTGACTCAGCTGTTCCCCTGCTGGGTATCTTCTCCAAAGAATTAAAAGAATCATACCACAGTGATACATATGCACCCATGTTCATAGCAGCACAATTTGTAATAGCTAAAACTTGGAAGCAGCCCAATTGCCCATCAACTGGAGACTAGATAAAGAAAATGTGGGGTTTTTTTAATGAAATAGAATACTACTCAGCCATAAAAAATGAAAAATTAGAGACATTTATTGCTAAATGGATGCCCATTGAGGCAATAATCTTAAGTGAAATAAATAGGACACAGATGTGTAAATACTGAATAGTTTCTCTAGTGTGAGAAAGTGAAAGTGTAAATAAGGACTAAAAAGTATAATAGATAATGTGAAATAGGAAGAGAAGGGGCAAAGGGGAAGGGGATTTGAGAAGGTAGGGGAAAGGAAAGAAGGGTATGTAATTAATATGAGAAAATGAAAAAAATGGAAACAAAGTCTTTGTAAATAGGGAGAGCTGGAGGGGTGGAAGGGAGGGCAGGTTTAGGGGGACAAATAAGAACCAAGAGTGATTATGTGCAAAATTCCAATGATGAATGTCATTACATTGTATAACTAAAATGTACTAGTGATTAAAATGAATAATTGATAATGTGAAATAGGAAGAAAAGGTCCAAAAGGGTAGGAGAAGTGGGAGGGTTCGGGGAAAGGAAAGAAGGGAAAGGAAAAATGATGAGAAATGGAAAAAATGGAAACAAAGTCTATGTAAATAGGGAAGGGTGGAGCAGGTGAAGGGTGCACAGGTAATGGGGAAAAAATAAGAACCAAGATACATCATGTAAAAGTACAAGTTCCCAATGAGAAATGTAAATGTATTGGATACCTAAAATGTATCAATAAAAGAATTCAAGGAAAAAAAAATAAATTTCTTAGCCTAAGTTTTTACTATTTTGGAGACTTAATCATGCATTTAGGATTTACATAACTCTTTAAAGCCATTAGGAAGTAGGACACACACTTCCTGGGTCCTTGTCTGTCTCCTCTAATCTTGCCTTTCTAGTTCCCTACAGTTTTGTGTATAAAAATTCACAAATTTGAGGCAGGGAATCCCTTCGGCAGCCATTGCTCCCAGGTGGGTTTTGTTTGGATCTCTCTTGGCTGAACTGTCCTGACAGTTAAACTGCCTGGGCTACCTAAATAATTCCTGTATTTTTACCTGTGTCATTCTTGCTGAGTTTGGCCTTCTCTGCATTGATATCTGGCTGCTTAACACTATTCTTGTTTCTGGAATTACATTTTATGGATCAGCCAGGTTGGAAGCACCTTCCTTCTTTCTCCATTCTCTACAATGTTTTTTTTTTTCTCCATTAAGTTTATTGGTACACTTTCGGTATAAAATACAGTTACATTCATCATTGGGATCTTGTACTATTACATGAGTATCTTGGCTCTTATTTTTTTTTACCCTTCCCCTGCCCTCCCTTCACCCCCTCCACCCTTTCCTATTTGCAAAGACTTTGTTTCCATTTTTTTCCTTTTCTCATATTTTTTCTTTCCCCTTTTTTCCTTTCCCCTAACCCTCCCACTTCCCCTGCTCCTTTAGACCTTTTCTTCCTGTTACACAATATCAATTATACATTTTTTAAATTACAGTATCAAGATCTAGGAGACATTACCACAGATTTTACAGAATTTAAAAGGATATAGAAAGCATATTACAAAAATCTTTTTTGGAATAAATTTGACAACTTCTAAGAAGTAGCTTGGAAGACAAATTAATGAAACTAACTCTGGAGGAAATATAAAATTTGAATAGCACCTATTAAAGAAAGTATATTCCTAGGTTGAAAACCTACCTATATGACAACAGCAGGCTCATAAACATTTTAACTGATAAATTATATCAAGCAAAGCAGAAAAAAGAAGGAACACTTCTCCCCTCATTTTAGAAAATCAACATACAATATTTTATTCTTTAGCAAGAGTAAGCTTGCACCTAAATTCCCAACCCTGAGACCTTTTCTCTCTCCAATGTTCCCTGCATGTCCTAGTGGATAAGTGGATATGGGCTTAGCCAATGTTGCAAATTCTTAAGTAGCCTGTGCTGATCTCTCTTGAGCCTGGTGCTTTTGTCCTCCTGCAAGTCTTCTTGTAGGACCAAAGCTGAACTCCTCAAGGCCTCGCCATGTTGGGGTCTCCTTTTGAACTGATGTTTCCAATATCCAAACCTGCATGGGAATCATCACTTCAGAAGTCTTCAGATTCTAGGATGGAATCTTCTGATTCTTTGTTGTCCTCTGGTCCCTACATGAAACTGAAACTGCCGTTCCTAAGAAGCCTTGGTCTGTGGGCATCTGGGCTAGCTTCATAGAACCTGTCACCCTGCTAATGGGTGGCTGGTAGACACCTCTGGAAAAACAAGTTTAGAAGATTCTGATAAAAGGATCGTTTTGCTTTCCTTTTTGCACAATTTAAATACCCTTTAATATACAAACATGCATCTATACTGATGAAAATGATATTTGAGTTTTCCAAATGTACTTATATTAGAAGCATTTGTTTTCTAAAATTTTTTAAGGACTAGGATTCCATGGACTATATTTGAAAGTGCTTTTCACAGAAGATTACACTAGGAAATCTTGTGATTTCAGTTATGTTTATAGACTGATTCAATGATTTACAGGAAATATTCTGGGGAAAGTGAATGAAGTAGAAAAATCTGTTAGTACTTAGCTAACCCCATCCAAAGAATAAGGAAACACTACATTTTGATTAGTAGAGATTTATTTCTACAGTGGAACAAAGATTCTGCCATTGTCTTATTTTTCAATCAGTGTGAGGATGTTTATTAATACCTACAATGTGCTACATATAATTTTGGGTTGTGGAGTTCTAATGATGAGTAAGATCAATTCTCAAATGTATGAGTTTTTCAAAGCATCATCCTGAGCACATATATATTTTAATAATCAAGGGTATGGAAACAAAGTGTTCAATAATAGATGAATGGATAAGAATATATGGTGTATATAGACAATGTAATATTTTTCAGCCATTGAAAAATAAAATTCTGTCATTTGCAGCACCATAGGTGCAGCTGAATGACTTCATGTTAAATGAAATAGACTAGATATAGAAAAACATATGCTCACTCATTTGTAGAAGTCAAGAAGGTTGATTTATAGAAGTGAGAATAAGAATAGTGGTTCCTAGAGGATAGGAAAGGTAACGGAGAGGAAAGATAATGAGAGATTAGAAAACAGCTACCAAAATACATTTGGATCAGAATTAATTCTAGTGCCCTATAGCACAGTAGGGTAACCACAGTCTCTACCAATTTATGATATATTTCAAAATAACTAGAAGAGTCCAAAGTTTACCAACACATAGAAAAGATAAATGTTGGAGGAGATGAAAATGCTAATTACTCTGATCTGCTCATTACATATTGTATAAATGTACTGAATTACACAATATCTCATAAATGTGTACATATATTATATGTTAATTAAACATTTTTTAAAAAGAGAGGGACCTTGTTAAAATTCATATTCCAGGGACTCACCTTAAATATTCTAATTTAGTAGGCCCATGATTTTAAATTATTGCATTTTAAACGGATACCATGTAGCATACTTATGTACAGTAACACTTAAGAAATTCTAGCATTGAGACTCAGGGATGGCAGTTGAGCTTGCTTTCCAGGTGGCTCTGGCTTAGGCTCTGGCTGGCTGGGGAGAGAGCTGGCAGAAGGTAATGTACACACCTCTACTCCTGATGACAAAATGTCCAGAAAGCACCTGGTCCATAGTAAATGCTCAAAACTATTAATTCTTTTTCTGCCATTGTGTCTTAAAGAAAACACAACAGCTTAGCATAGTGAGGGGTTAGTTTTTATTCTTTATTTTCTTTTCTTATGAGATAGATACCTGAACTCTTTCCAGAGATAGAAAAGATGCCTCTTTCTTTAATTATTTATTTTTAAATTAGATCCAGTTATTGATAAAAATTTAAATACCAGAGTGGAGAAGCAGAGTGGAGATTTTTCTTCCCACGTTACACAACAATGTAAGTCTACTGGTTTCAGATCTCAGCTCTAGAAACCTCCATCACCACATTTCCTGTTTGTAACTGAACAAATTACACACAAAAGATTTTAAGAAACAGAAAAGCAACCTGAGCCACTGATAAAGACCAATTTTAGGACCATGCTGCTCCTAATATAAGAGGGCAACATTAGTGGAGGGAAAAGTTTGTGGGAGCATTTTTAATCCATCCATTTGCTTTATGGCTACATAAGGAATTTTCTAAAAAAAGAAGCATGTCAGGTAAGTGGAATTTTTAATACTTTTTACATTATATTCTAAAGATTCACTTAATAATTTCCAAGTGGTAATTAAAAGACACTTAATATTTGAAGAGTAAATCAGCTAGCACAATTATTTTTTTAAATGTGCAACACCCTTCAGTATAACTAGTATTTTGAAATTCATTAACCAGTACAAATTGACTATTTTCTCTTCAAAGCAAAAAAAGTTGGACTGTATTTAGCACAAAGCTAGTTGTAGCTGTTCAGTAAGTGTTTATTGGCAACTATGCCATGCAAAATACTTGTTATTTTTAAGGAAGCTTTTGTTGACCATGCTCAGTCCTCTTTCGTTTACTTTAGATATAAAGCAAGATGGGAGTAAATGCATTCTAACACTAAAAATTAGGCGTGAGAGTGTCTTCTCAGTAATCAATCCATTTGTAACCTTCAGAGAGATGACAGTTTTGAAAAGCCCAGTGAAAATTCAGTTGCTCATGCAATGAATCTTGAGTTCGATCCACATCGATTTGCTATTATTAGTCTACACTGATGGTTCATTCCTCTTGCACTGTTTATGTACTTTCTTTTTCATTAACCAACATCTTTTGCTTGTAAAAGAATAATCCAGGTTAGGTAAAGTAGAAGCACTGTGAAATATACACAAAAGGAAAAATCTTAAGTATTTCCTATCACCTGAAAACCACAAAATATTGTTTTATTTCCTTCCAATTGTTATTTCTGTATATTCTAGTTTTATTTTCATATGTGAAATATTAATTTGTAGTTTAAGTCATATATCAGCTTTTTTCACTCCTATAATAAAATAACTATTTTCCTTTTATTGTAATTTCTGCCTAATCATTTTAAATGAATGCACAAAATGATGTCTGTTGCATTAATTATCATTTATTTAGTCATTTGTTTATGGTAGGACATTTACATTGTATCCAGTTTTAAATTTCATAATGAAAGAAAAATGAACAGTTCTATAGCCTCTTCTATGTGTAATTTTTAGGAAAGATATTTAGAATTGGAATTAGTAAGAGATTATGAACATTTTAAGCCTCATTATTGCCAAATTACTTTTCCAAGGGTGATGCCAATTTACTCTCATTCTAACAATGCTTCTCTTTAATAGACAGGTTTCATTTAAAAAATTTCTTAAATTTAATATTCTACTCATTGTTTAATATGCATTACTTTGATGATAATGAGATTGAACATTGAGCATTTTGTATGGATTTTTAAACTGTTTATAATTCTATCATTTGTTAATTCTCATTATATCTTTTGCTTAATTATTGTGCTCATAATACTTTTAATATCAATTCATATGGGCGCAATTACCAAGTGAAGATATATTTTACAATTTTTGTGAATTTCTTTCCCAGTATTTTGTTTGCTGGATCTTAAAATCAATTGGATGAATCACACATGGGACATCTGCTAACATATGACTTTCATGCTTCTCTTTTGCTTTCCTAGTTCATAGGTGACCAAAGAATCAAAAGAATTGTTCTAGTTTGACTAGTATACAGCAACAACTGGACATGGCATTACTATATGCAGTTTCCTTGAGCAGATGATGATGGGGAACTTGGGAAGTGTGGGAAGTGAGAAGGCTCATGGCAGTGAATATGGCATTCAACTATTTCCATAACTAATTAATCCTAAATTTAGAAGGGATATGATAAATGTCCCCAACATTTATAGCTCAGATTTCCCTGTCAGGTTTAATATAGGAGCTCCTCCACTGTCACTTTAGAAATTTTACAAGTCCACAGAAAAGATACAAATACACTGTTTGTCCTTCAAACTTCAGGCCTTAAGTGCCAAAACAAAACAGAAACTTAATATAGAAGAGAACCAGATGGTAGTATTTTTGATATTTAGATAGGTGAAAAAAGAAAATAAATTTGAAAACACACACAAAAGCACAATTACTCATAGTTAAGCAAAAAAAAAGAAGAAGCAAAAAACTCAAATCTTTATTTCTACCTAGAATCATGTAGTCATCAAGTCACAGGAAATGTGCTGGTATCATAATTCTTATGTAGTTTCTGTATTCATTAAAAAAAATCAACACTAGCTAAATCAAATGGTGAAAATAAATCCTTTGGGCTATTGTTAATTTAGTTTTTAAAAAAATTAATAATTTAGTTTACACATTGTTATGTTTTAAGTGTCTCATTTTCTTTACTCAGTTTTTTCTTCTCATGAACTTCAATCATCTTTCTGAGTAGAATGAAACTCTTTCTTTTAGAGACTAGGTCGGACTAATTCATGAATCATCTTTTAATCTCAGATATTCTTTTTTTTTGTACTGGGGATTAAACTCGGGTCCTTGAGCTTGTGAGGCAGGTGGAAGAACCACTGAGCTAAATCCCCGGCCCTTTTTTAAAAAATTTTTAAAAAATTTTTTTGGTTTTTTGTACCGGGAATCGAACTCAGGACCTTGTGCTTGCAAGGCAGGCGGAGGCATTGCTGAGCTAAATCCCTGGCCTATAATCTCAGATATTCTTAAAGATGGGTCACAGACAACATTGCATCATAAGATTTAAGTAATATTTGGCAGTGATTTAAAAAAAAGTTAATCCAGGAAATATTGTCACTTGCAGGTCATAGCTCTCAGAATGTATGCCCACAAAAGTGCTAGTAGATAGTAGATCTCATTATTGGAAAATTTTCAGACATTGTAAAATTTCATTTAATTATCTCAACATTCCTAAATTAAAAATAGAAGAAAAAATTAGAAGAGTTTCTTGAAACATTAAAAGACACATAGTATTTTGTGAAATGAAGCTTCCCACACAACCACACTGCCTTCTGAGTCTTTTCAGTGTGCTTCTCTAATAAGAAACAGTTAAGGACATATACAAAATGGAGTGACTAAATCTAGATAGAGAGAGGTTTGTCTACAGCAGGGATTTGGGCAGCACTTCAATCTCCAAAGGATTTCTAAAGTTTTCAAGGCATCTATCCTAGAGAAATCTTAACATGCTCTCTTAAAATATACCTTCCCCCTCACTCCCATATCTGGACTTTTTAAAAGTTAAATTTAGTAAGTATTGATTGAGAAACTTCCTTATGTGTTAGAAAGAGGTGGCCTTGATGTCATACAGGTGAGAATAGGAACTCTGGTTATACAGTTGGCTTAGTGAAGTTCAGTGATTTGCACACAACCAGTCACACAACTAGTAAGTGACCACTCTCAGTTTCTTGCTCAGTTTGAAAAACAGGCATTCCAAAGCTGATATTCCTGTTTTCCTTCTCCCCATCACAGAGCACTCTGAGACCTATACTGTTCACATCTCAAATAACCATCTGTTTGTAGTGCACGTTGACCTAAGGTTGGTGGGTTTGAGATTTTAAATTAGAATGGTATGTTATTTACTTGAAAGGCCAGAAATGATTGGAAAGCCCTATCTTGTGCTAATATCTATGATTCTAATGACTTTTATTGATGGAGATGGTACAGCTGTATAGTAGTAGTTGGAAGTGTGGGCTTTGTTCCTTTTGTCCACAAAATCATTAGAATGTACATTGTTCAGCACCAAACCATCACCATGTTAAAAAAAAAAAAAAGCTCATTTGATAAGTAGACCCATGGGGATCAAAATGTCAGTAATTTTCTTTAAAACTTCTGGGTACCTAAAATAAATATTTGCATTTGTGGAATGCAAAGAGATATTCACTGCTGTGATAGGGTTTATAAACCAAAGGAATCCATTAAGAGAACCTATGTATTATAAACTATATACTGTAAACTCATACACTTAGTTAAAAATCTGAAATAGAGACAATAAAACATTATAGTTATGCTTTTTATTATTAATTGTTCCTGTATAAATCAAAACTGCTGCAGAAAGACATTACATTTGCTTAGCTGGGTTCCAAATATAGTGCCTGCCAATTACTGTTGGCATTAAGGGAGTCAGAGGTCTTATAATTAAACCCACTATGATTAGCCCTTGGCAGTTGAAAACTAGATAGAAGCTTAAATCCTGATTTTTCTAGCTCTCATTTCCTTACTAATAATTTCTCAAGACCTTTTGCTTTTTAATAGTGTAAATAGCTAAATTAAAATTGTGTGGGAGTTCATTTTGAATTGATAAAAGCTATATAAATGAAAATAATTACAATTAATGAATAATGATACTGAAGATTGCACTTGTTGGGTAAGAATTTTTAAGTACTTTTTGCATCCAATATCGTAAGAGTCACTGCCTGTACTAAGTAGCTACCCACAGGGATAAAGAGACATTTACACTGGGTTCAGAGAATTACTAGGCAAGGGGAGGTGTTAAATTTCTGTGTATGTGTGTGTGTGTGTGTGTGTGTTTGTGTGTGAACATTTATTCAGATCTGTTGAAAATTTCCACCAATATCTACTCTTCTCATGTGTTTTGTTTTTCATTGTGTATTTATTGTTGGCAATCAAAAGAGTGTGACAGATATCAAGAATATCATGGAAGACAAAGCTTCTAAATGAAATCCTACTTAGAACTCAGATCACACTACTAAAGGGAAAAAAAATCTTGGAAAGCATAAATGTTAGGAATTCTAGACTTCTAAAATCAGAAAAAAACACTTCAAGACCATGCTAAACTACCCCTCCACATGCCTAAATCACTTCCTACATACTGGATTTAAGCTTGTGTTTTAAAATGTCTCCAATTGTTTATATGAAACAAATTCATTGTGTTACTTAATGATAAAACACAACCCTAAAGGAATGCACAATGTGGTTCAAGTTCTTGCCTTAATAATGTTGACATATATCATGAACATTAAAAGGACTTATCTTAGAGATTTTAGTGGAAAATGTAGGTCTATGGTATTGATTTGGTTGTTTCTTTGTAGCTGAGAGCAAAATTGTCTTCTTGTAGCAATTAATAGAGTAATGTAACTATTTCAATTCTTCCCATAACTGGAAAGGGAAAGCAAAATTTCTGTTTGACTTATAATTTTGGACATATGATAGAATGGTACATTTAGAGTAGTTTTAAAAACAAAATT